TTTTTTGAGACAGAGTCTTGTTCTGTTGCGCAGGCTGGAGTGCAGTGGAGTTAGCTCACTACAACCTCCGAACTTCATTATTTTTAATGAATATTGATAGATTGCGAGTTCCCTGAGGATGGGGACAATATCTTATTTCATCTTAGGATCCCTAAAACCTGGTACAGTACCCAATCCAGAAAACATATTAAAGAAACGCTTGTTGGATTGAACTGAATGAAACGTGTTTCTCCATCATTGTTCCAGGCCTGGTTGACAGACTTATCACCGGTCACCTGGAATATTCTGATAATTTTCTAACTGGTCTAAATGCCTCCGATACCTCCAATCCCTCCTACACACTGACACAAGAATGTTCTTCCTAAAACAAAGGTTGGATCAACTCCATGGTTTCCCTTGAAAATCATTGCTTATAAGATGTAGCCTAAAAAGTTACTGGGCCTTATAACAAAAAGAAGTGTGCTCCTCCTCTGGCCCTGATTCCCTCTCAGGCTAATCTACATTCTTGCCTACACCTCCCCAACTCTACCTTCTAGTGATTTCCAGTGGTTCCTGCTACATCAGAACCACCCCCCACCAATCCCTGGGGAACTTCAGAATTCAGGGTTCCAGGTTCCACCTCTAGAGAAATCAGTCTGGAGAAAGGCCCAGGAGTCCATATTTTAAAAGCCATTGCAGTTGTGAGGTTTGGGAACTTCCATTCCAGCCAGCACTCCTGCTCAACTCATGGGTCCCAGAACACATTCTGGACTCTTGGCCTTTCCTGTCGTCACTCACGCTCTTCCTTCAGCCTTGGCTTTTCATTCCCCTTTTCCCTACCTTCCGAATCCTATCTGCTTTTAAGCTTTCACTGAAACATCACCTCTCTCCAAAGCGCCCTTGGATCCCCCAAAAGAGAACACCAGCTCTGGAATCACCAGGACCTGGCTCAGATCTCCACCCTGTAATGAAATGGCCAGCTATCTGGGACGTTACTGGCAAGTGCCAAGTCTTAGTTTCTGTGTTTGCAAAATGAGGATGATAATAGAATCCAACTCATGAGACCATGGGGATTAAATAAAATCACAAATGTAACAAGCTTAGCACAGTCCCTGGCACATGGGAGGCTCTTCAATAAATGAATGGCAGCATTAGGTTTAATAGCCCTTTACCCAGGGCTGCCCAGAGCTTTGCTTTGCCTTTGCCTTTGCCTTTATTATAGTGCTTATTTAATTGGCCTGAGGAAGGAAGATATTGTTTACTGAGAAAGCTGCCACAGGCCCTAAGGGCTGCAACACGGATAATGGGAGCCAGGAAATGAGGGCGGGAGGACCCTTCTCTCTACCTAAGGACTCCTTCCTGACCCTGGATCCAGGTGGGGCTAGGGTGGGAGGAGCCAGGGCCAAGTGAGGAAGACTCTGTTCCTAACAAAATAATGCATGAAGGGCACATCCCTTGGAGAAAAGGGTAAGCAGACTGGGGAGACCTGAGAGGTATAAAATCTCAGATGCTAGAAATCCTCCAAAAGGGAGTTGGGGGTCCAGGATTTTGCTCTGAGCTAGAAGCTGGAATGTCCAGGCCCCTTCCCTATTGCTGATTTTTCTTTTTGACCCTGAGAAAGCCTCTCAGCTCCTCATCCCACTCCTACCATGAAGCCTGTCCTCTGGGCACACGATAGGCAATTAATTGTGTCACGCCTTGAACCAGCTCCTCTAACATAGGAGCAATATAATCCCCAAAGCTTTTGAAAAATCCATCTTCATTATGGCACTGATACACTTTGGGGAAGTTTCTTCAAACACTGTCTCTTCCCCATCTCTTACTTATCCCAAGCACCTCCCCACCCTACCCCAACTCTACACACACACACACACACACACACACACACACACCAGCTCTCAGGTGGGAGCTGTCCCGGCCTTAGCTCCAGACAGGAGGATCTGTGGGTGGCAGGAAAAGAAAAAGAAGATTTCTGAGTAATTTCAAAGTTCTTTCTAGGTTCTAGCAAGGGGTGGGAAGGATCACAGCCAGCTTGAAAGAACTGAGAAAGAGAGAGATTGGAAGAGAGAATATTTAGACTATATTTAGGAAGAGAAGAGAGAATGTTATGATTTCCAAAAAGAGCCATTTCTGGGAAATGCCATCCCAAAAGTTTGGCCAAAAAAATTTGAGAAAGAAGGATTTAAACCTGTGCTGTCCACTACAGCAGCCACTAGCCACATGCAGGCCCTGAGCGCTTGAAAGGTGGCCAGTCCCAACTTTGATGTGCCGTGCGTGTACATCATTTCTTTTACTTTTTCAGTGTGGCCACTAACAAATTCAAAATTACTATGTGACTTGCATTCCATTTACTGAAGCCTCCCTTCCGGGCTTCGTTTCTGTTCTGGTAGAAGCTATGTTTGGATACTGAAACCTTTATTATTTATCAGGTATCACTCCAGCTCACCAGCTCTTCCATCTCTTCTGCTCCTGCCAACCCCACAGAGGACCAGTGTGAAAGGAGATCATTAGGCTATTCAGGCTTCCCTCAGACTGCAGAGGTGGCTAAGAACTCCCCGCCCCCAACCCCTGCCCAGGGTTACATGAAGATTTGAAAGCTCTGTTATCCCCCAAAAAACCACCTCTTCCATCTGCACTGGAGGATCCATCCCTGAGACCCTTGTCTCCTCTCTCCTTTTTAGCACCCTCCTTGCCATCACAACTGTCACTCCCCTGCCATCATCCTTTCCCTCCACCCCAACTCCATTCTCACCACTGCCTCACACAGAACCGCCTGCATCCTTCTGCTTACCCAGTGGACCCTCTTCTCCTGTCCCCCGGGAGGAACCCCATCAGCATTTGCTGCCTTTGATGCTCTATCCAACCTCTAAGCCCTCCTGAGCTGAGGATTTTACATGGCTGGGCTCCCAACTTCATTCTGGCAGCTGGACCCCATGGCAGCCAGACTGCAGGGCTCAGAGAAACAACCAACAACCCTGGGAGGGGGTGAAGGCCACATGCCCTGCAGAAGGTGGTCCCCTCTTATTGCACTTGAAGCGGACAGTGAAGAAGAGTGACCAAATGAGGGAGCAAGAAACCCCCAGCTTACCTAGCATAGGGACCACAGTTTACTTAGCAACGAAGAACAAAACAAAGCAACAGCGATAACACTAGCTAATATGTATCGCTTATTTGCTGGATGCCAGACTCCATGCTGAGTGCTGAACATGCATGGTTCATCAGATCTCTGCAGCACCCCTATGAGGCTTAGGTAAGTGAAATTACCTGTCGCCAGGCGTGAACTCAGAGAGGCTGCCACCAGAACCCACAATCCAAACCACCATTTGAATTGCTCCCTCATAAAACATAAACTTCCTTGCCCCCTCATCCATTCATTTATTCTCTGATTCACTCATTCAGCATTCATACACTGATAGCCTCTAAGAAACTTACCAGCTCATTGGTTCCCATTCAGCATCTAGGCTGTCCAGGCACATAGAAGGCATTGGGCTATGAAGATTAATAAATCACAGTCCCTGAATTCACAGACATCTTAAAGGTTTTCAGGGGCCATGAGAGATGTGGAAAAGCCTAACTCTGCCTTCAGATCACACCTGCATTTTACAGCAGAGAAACTGAGGCCTAGTAGGAGGGTCATGGAAAGGGTGAAGTTCAAATCTTGCCCGATTTAATAGTCAAGTAAGAGTCTGCTTGGATTCTCAACACAAATCAATGTTTGTCTTCCAGCCTCACCCATCTCCCGAGATTGTGCATGTGTATTGTGTCACTGCTTGGCTACGTGGTCCTTTTGACAGACTCAGTACGTCTCTTTCTGCCTTTATCCCCACTGGCTACCTTCACAATGCCCAGTGATAATGTCCACACCCAAAATCAAAACTCATCCACTCCAGAAACTACTCAGTTCAGGACACCCAGGTCCTGTATCCCCTGAGCTTATGTGTTCGCGTTCCCACCGTAATAGTATACATTTGTATGTTGCTCTGTACATGTTCTTAAATTTCAAATATGTGTGCATTAGTTCAAGCAGCTTTTGAACTTCATGAAGGCAAGGACTAAGTGTTTCTTTTATATCTTATCTTCTCCTTCCAAATCGCTGAAGTCTATCAGCATCTGGTAACAATCTCAGCCTATTCAAATTAACTAATAAATGTGAATTTTTTGATCTGCTCTGCAGACATAATCTGCGTGTGCCTGTGTGTGTGTGTGTGTCTGCCTGGGTTGTAACTTCAACCAGTATGGATAGCAGGGGTGTTTGTATATACAAAATGTCAGTATAAGCGTGTGTGTGTGTGTGTGTGTGTGTGTGTGTGAATTCTCCATTAGAGTTAGGGAAGCTTAGACACACATCAGCACAATCCATCAATTTCCAGACATTATCTCTCATGATAATTTCCTGCCAAATCTTTGAGTTGCAATTAAGAAAGTAGATAATTTGAAACATTTTCCTCTGCATGTTGAGATGGATTATAATCCTAATTTGATAAAGACTGTTAATGACTCATTAGCCACCCTTGGCTTCTCCTCAGGTCAGCCAACTTCCCAGGCGCTGGAGGCAGCTGGCAGCAGAAAGGCTGCGACGCTCAGGTCATTACATGTTATTGCTTCAGCAGCACTAAAAGAAAAACACACAACAAAGACACAACCGCACCACAGCCCTGGAATTCTCTTTTCTTCAGCTCCTGGATTTGGGCATCAATTTTTGTTTCTTGGCTTTGAACAAAGCCTCTAATTTCCTGACAACCAAAATGCTGTCCCCAGGGTATGCATACCCTGCCGGAGTGGCAGACAAGGCATTGCAGCCTTCCCTCAGCACAGGTGGGGGTACAGGGACTCACTGTTCTCACAGCTCTGGGCCCCATCCCCAACACATTTTTTTTTCTGGGATGGGCTCCCCAAACCAAAAGGGTGGGGACTCCTAAAGAGAATGGCAATTTCAAGCTGTTTACAATCACCACAAAACATAACAACCTTCTTTCTGCCTTGGGTGAACAAGGTCAGAAAGCACAGAAGGCCATCTACAGGGTCCCAGTTCCTTTCCTCCTGGCTGGGTGTCACCTCTTCAGCTCCAGGCTTAAAGAATTGAATTCTTCACAGAAGCCAAAGTCATGGCTTCCCCTGGGTCATCCACTTAGGAATGTAAACCCCTGACTCTCAGGAAGGTCTTATATTGCTTGGACTCCTGTGGACCTGTGTGCAGCTGCAAACACACACATGGCATGCACTCATCACAGCTGGACAGGTAGGACACAGATATAGTCACACTTACACATGTTCACACAGAAACAATCACAAGCTCACATGGAAACACTGACACATGGTCACACAGACACACAATCACAGACACATGGTCTCACAGGAACACAGTCATAGTCACACTGACACATGTTCACACAGAAATACAGTCACAAGTTCACATGGGAACACTGATACATGATCATGCAGTCACACAATCACATAGACACACAGTCACAATGACCTATGGTCATGCAGAAACAGACACAGTCACACAAACAGTCACACAGAAACAGCCACATAGTCACAGGTCACATGGGGACAATGACATGTGGTCACACAGTCATATAGTCACATAGGAACAGTCACAGACACACAGTCACACAGAAACACAGTCACAAGTTCACATGGAAACACTGACACATAATCACATAGACACAGTTACACTGACAAACGGTCACACAGAAACACAGATACATAGTCACACAAACACACAGTCACACAAACATTACACAGTGACAAGATCACATGGAGATGTTGATACATGATCACATAGACATAGTCACACTGGCACAAAGTCACACAGTCATACTGACACATGTTTACACAGAAACAGACACAGTCACACTGATGCAGTCACATAGGCACAGTCACAAGTTCACATGGAAATACTGATACATGATCACATGGTCACACAATCACATAGACACACAGCCACACTGACACATGGTCACACAGAAACACAGACACATAGTCACAC